TTGCTACCGCTAACTTGCTGTCGCCCTTGTCTAGTCTCCTAGCCAGGGCTAGGACTAGGGTGAGGGAAGTGGGGTGCCCTGGGTACAAAATGTTAGGAGGAGGGCCCCACTCTAGTCCCGACCCTGCTCTCAACCTCTCTGTGCCTTATCTCAAGAATAAGAGGTCATCCTGGAGACAGCTAAGGTCCTTCCAGAACCAGCCTATGATGATGTCACTGAACTTCCAAAATTGGTAAGTGACATAAATGGGAGTGAGGCTTTCAAAACAGCATTCGTGGGTTATCTGCAGACCTGTCACATCTATGTGAAATTTGGCCAGTACTAGTCATTTATCAAGGGCAGACCACTCATGGAAAGCGCTTTCAGGATGTGTTCCTGACATCTTTAGCCTGGCATTTTTGGCAGCATATCTACTGAACTTCTGATTTGCTACAAGTAGTCAGGAGACAATGTCTGAGAATCTCTTCTCTTCTCCTGCAATACTGTTGAAACAAAATTAAATAGCTTATTAACTAGGTTGTCTCATTTTTGTTTCATTTGTCCAGACTCTTAATTTTTTTTTTCCCATTAAACATTTTTCCCACCCAAGATGGCATGTCGGGGAGAGAGGAGCCTGGTAAAACTGGTGACATGCCTGGCTGTCCTCTACCTAGCTGGCGGGGGCTAGAAACCCAGGGCTCAGAGTCCCTCCACAAATGATTCCTGACCAGCCAGGGAAACGCAGTCTTGGCATATTCGACCGTGGTTTAAACACGCCTTACTCAGAGAAAACCTAGTACGCGAACTGCCAAATGTACAGATCAAGCAGAAATGAATGGTCCATGATTTGTGTAACAGAAGGGCGTCTGACTCACAGAAAGCAAGGTCCCTCAGTTAAGAACCTTAAGCTCCATACAGAAAGTTGGGGCTGTATTTTAGGGAGGTCTGGAGAACGGAGCACCGTGGAGTACCAAAATCAATTGGTGACGCCCAGAAGTGAGAATAAGTCATCGTTGGGACTAGAATGTAAGTCACTGAAAAAGCAGGATGATTTTCTTTCCCCTGTGAGTCTGATTTACCTTCAGCTTTGTGGGGAGCCATCCCTGGGTAAAGGGAATGACAATTTTACAAGCTGTGGGAGGCTCTGGCATTCTCCTCGGCAGGACCACGAGTCACTGATAGCTTGCCTAGACCAGCTCTTGGGGCCAGTTCACACCACCCTGCAGCACACGTCGGCCATGCTTCAGGGCAGCCAACACCACGAGAGCCTTAGCAACACAGATCAGAAAGGCAGCTTGGTAGAAGGGTTAATTACACAGGTTCTGCGGCTGGCTGGTTAAGCAGTTACTTGGCTTCTCTGAGATGGGTATCTCTCCGTAAAAGGAGGGTGACACTCACAGTTTCATGGAGGGGTTGTCAGGATGCAAAGAGATAACGATGTAAAAGTACTGCTTTTGGTGTTGGGTACTAGTAGCTGCACAACAAACGCCACTATTATCACTTGCTTCGCCCGTACTATGCTTTCCTTCTCACTCCCTTTTCTGGCTACCTGAAAAGGGGAGGGTGGTGGCTCTCTTCCTTTGTCTACCACACTCTGTGCTGGACATCTGCCATCGGGCATGAGTCAAAAATGAGATCGAGGTGGGCAGATCTCACAGTCTTTCCCAATGTTGCACAGTTCCTACTGCTAGGGGTTCCCGCCCAGACTCACCCCCTAGGTTCAGTGCAACCAACCTCAGACTGGATAGAAAGAGGTTTTATAGCATTTCCATCCACAGAAAGGATGGAATAACAGGGTGATCCCATGTGAAATATTTTCACTAGTAGTTTTTGTCCCTGAACTTAAGTTAATTTTGAGAGAGCTTTCCATGAGGTAATCAGGAGTCTTTCCTTATTTTGCACTTCATGCTGCCTAGTGTCAGAGAGAAAACACCCGAAATATTATGTTTTGTCTTCTTGACTTGCAGACTTTAAAAGCTTGAGAGACTTAGAGATGACCTTTGTGCGGACAGAGTGTTCTGAATTCCCTCCCGCCCCCTGTCTCTGTCTCTCTCTCTGAAGAATTTATTAAGTTAATGTATGATGCCCTCACTTAGTTCCTATTTATTATTTCATTGTCAAGTTTCTTTATGGTGTCTAAGTTGTGATTACAGAGAAGTATTATACAATGTCAATGCATAGATGAGATTTGGAAGGTCTGGGGTTAGGGCGGGGAGGTTCTTTAAATGGAGATGTCAGCTCCAGCCAATTTCAGAATGGCTCACCATGAAGACGGATGGTTCCAAAGCTATGTGCCTCTGCTGGAAATTAAAAACCCATGGAATACTTGATTATGATTAATTTTAAGTGCTTAGCCATGTGAAGCCAAATGAGAGTGTCTTTAAAACAAAGCTATTGGGCTTCCCTGGTGGCGCAGTGGTTGAGAGTCCGCCTGCCGATGCAGGGGACACGGGTTCGTGCCCCGGTCCGAGAAGATCCCACATGCCGCGGAGCGGCTGGGCCCGTGAGCCATGGCCGCTGAGCCTGCGTGTCCGGAGCCTGTGCTCCGCAACGGGAGAGGCCACAGCAGTGAGAGGCCCGCGTACCGCTAACAACAACAACAAAAAGCTATTGATCTAGCTTTGTTTGGAATTGAGAAGATAAACTAATCAGATCCTGGGGGCTCTTTATAACGATGGGGAAAGAGAACTTTTTTTTTCCATCCTGGGTTTTTAAGCTTCAAGTTTGAGAGACCTGGTGTATCTGCATAAAATATAAATATATATTTTGATAGCAAATATCAGAGTAGAGAGGGGCAATCCAATTCTGTCCTGGACAGGAGTCTGATGGAGATGAGGGCATGGTGGGGAGAAAGTTAGGAAAGTGGAGAGGACATCATTTAGAGATCCCCTCCTATGTAGTATATAGGGCATCTCCTCTTAAAGTTAAAGAAACAGACTCAGAGAGGTGGAGTAGCTTGGCCAAAGTGCCACCACATTCGGGATTCCACACCCAGGCGTGTCTGACTGTACAGCCCTTCTCTCTCCCCGAAGACAGCCTTCCTGGTGAGGCAAGACGACACCACTCTGAGTTGAGAGAACTAACATGTCGGCCGTCAGGTGGTCACAGCTGTTTTGTGGCAGCTGGTGACTTCCATTTCCTGGTCTCTTCCCAGGGAATTTTCTCATCCTTCTCAAGAAGAAGGTGGTATGCTCCTAGCAGCCCTCTCTACAGAGGCTTTTTTTTTGCAGGCAGGGAAAATCGAGCCTACCCTTCTCAGCTCCAGCCTCTTGCTAAGAGGAGTCCTGGGTTACTAAATTTGGGCTGGCATCCTCTCCCTAGCAGACACACATTTGGTGCCGGTTCCAGGGTCAGAGTTTGGGTGAGGAGAGACCATCAATCTTAGGAGTGACAGCCTGACCTCTCCGGCTGTGGGTCCTGCCTTTTCTGTACCGGGAATTCTCGGTTTTCATCCGATTTCCAGCAGCTTGCAGCATCAGCATCCTCTTTGATTTCCCGTGATTCCTCTTGGAATTACCTTCCTCTCACACGACGTGAAGAGGATGTCTCCAACCCATTGCTACTGTCTGCGGGGCCAGGTGAAAAGGATGGTGGAAGGAGGACCTTCCCTTATGGACAAAGGGACATTTTAATGTACTTGTTCTTTCATTTGTTTGACATTTATTCATTCTTCTGGAAGTCAGAGATATGTAACCTGGTGACTACGTAATTTATTTATTTAGTTAGTTATTTAATTTTCAGGGGGATGCTCAACACATCCTATGCTTATCATTCTGGCTAGAACTGTAGCATCAGAATTATTTTTAGAAGCAAGCAGTTACAGAACTTGGAAAGGGGAAGTCACCCCCAAGATAAAGCAACCGTCCCCTTCATTTTTCAAATGAGAAGCTGAGGGTCCAAGCACAGAAGGGACTCGCCCAAGGTCACACAGCTAACTGAGGGGCTGAGTCAGGACTGAACCGCACGTCTCCCGAAGCAAGTTCTGCTAGGCTGTATTGCCTTCCTCTCCAGGTTTCCCCAAATCAGGGACAGCTGGAAGTGTAGTTGGGGCATGCGGGAGAACAATCAAAATGTTTTCTTACACAATTCAATTTTAGTTTGAATGACCCCAGGATGCCTCCTAGCCGACTCTCCCCCTTGGAAATCAGGTGTCCTTAGCTGGACCCATCTGAAAATCCAGAACACAGAAGGGCGGCTACACATTTTTCCTAGACAAAGTATGCAGGGTGGTCTTCTGGGGAGGGGTGCACCTCCTCTCATCTTCCCCCCAGCCCTTGTCACTTTAAGGTTACTGCTTAAAGTTTGGCTTTAATCCTGAGATGTGATCTCAAGTGCAACAGCAATGACTGGTCTTTACCAGGCTGTTTGGCATTCCCCCTGGTCCTGTGTTAAAGTCCCTTTCTCATTCTGGGTAATTCCAGCCGACCCCCCAGTGCTACCCCTTTCTCATCTCCCAGACCTGTAACCTGCCTCTCCATAAGTAAGCCCACACTCAGATGCTCCCTGATTGCTCTGGCAACTTTACCAGGCTGTTTGGCATTCCCCCTGGTCCTGTGTTAAAGTCCCTTTCTCATTCTGGGTAATTCCAGCCGACCCCCCAGTGCTACCCCTTTCTCATCTCCTAGACCTGTAACCTGCCTCTCCATAAGTAAGCCCACACTCAGATGCTCCCTGATTGCTCTGGCAGGCGCTGGGGGTCTACTCCAGCCCATCTGTTTCACCCAGCAACAAATACCGTGGGAGCATCGGGGGAGAAAGGACTCAACTGAGACTTAATTAACAGTAATCCCAGTTTGTGGGAGGAGAGAAATCCCACTTTGCTGCCTGCAAACACTTTGGCCAAGGTGAGCCGGAGGGATCTCCCGGTTCGCAATTTTAATAGCACTGCAGCAGAAGACACAGAAATGCATCCACACGGACCCCCCCAGGCACACACACTCCCCCTCTCTCCTCCTCACCCGGACACACACACGCACGCACACGCACACGCACACGCGGCAGCGATCGCAAAATCAACTCACAGGATCTCTAAATCACGCAGCGCTCGGAAGGCTCCATCTTCAATGCAGCTGATGCGGTTGTTGTCTAGTTGCCTGTGGAAAAGCAAGGGAAGAGCATGAAGGCTGAGTGGGGGCCGCGCTGGGGAGCTGGGCAGTCTGGGCCCCGTGTCCCTGGTCCCCCGAGCGCCTGTCCCTCCACCCTCGCCGGCTCTGCTCGTCCCCGCCAGGAGCTCGTGCAGAGCCAGCCTGTCTGCCACGCTGCTGTCTCTCCTCTCTGACTGTCTGAGGGAACTACACAGACGAGCGCACCAAAGGCTGTCAGGTCTCAGTAAATATTAATTGCGCATTTTTTTTTTTTTAGGCAGAAGGGAGTAATTTCATTACATTAGGGCATCCAATCCATTACGAGCTCTTACCGTCATGTCACTGAAACAATTTCATTAAGCTAAAGGCCTGTAAATCATTGGAGGTCACTGCTCTGCCCTCCGTGACCTCCCAGAATGCTTTTTTTCCCCCTCACTCCCTCTCCCTGTCTCCCTTTTACTGGAAGTTGCGGTCTTCTGCTCTGACACAGTGCTAAATCTCAAGGCTTTATCTGCCCAAGAGCAGCGAGGGTGCATGGGGAATATACCAATTCCAAATTAGACTCAACTAATCTAATTTTATAGTCTTTTTATTATTCTAAGCACCAAATGTCTGTGGTGGTTTGATGCCTCTGTGCTTTGTTATGGGGCCCATCTGGTAGGTCATTCTATTGAAGTATTTTCTGACTAAATACAGATTCCCTCAAACTGCACCAAGCATCATCAACATTAAAGAAATTCATTGATGGAAGCGTTCCGGATGCGGGAAAAAAGGACTATCATTATTGCCTTAAAGATATACCACTTAAATTTAAATTGGGGAGAATTAAATGCACCTATTTCACGACTTTTTTTTCTTATGTCCCTTTCCATCTTATGAGCACGGAAATCATGTCTTTTAAAAAGATGCCTTGACTAATATATATTCCAGCTGGGGACTGAGGTTATTCTAGTTGAAGGATAACAAATAGATTCCACTATCTCAAATGCCTGACGTGTAAGTCAGAAGATTTACCATGACCACACCCCAACTTAAATATCATCTATTATATATATAATTTATAGAAAGATGTTATATAGAAAATGGTTATTATCACCAGGCTGTCTTATATTTTGTGTGCGGAACACACACAAAATATAATTTATGCTGGGGGCCAGGAGAAAAGTGTGACTGGAAAAAAATATTGTAAAGTGATTATACTCCGATTAAAAAAAAAGAAAAAAAAAAAAGAAGTGTGACTGTCGAAAAACTCCCTCCTAGACTCCTTTATCTTTCTTTTGTCTCAGATAAAATCAGCCCCTCTCAAGTGGAGGGTTCTCCTGATGCTGGAATTTTCACTTGAAACTTGTGCTAATCTATTCCAAGACAACTCTCTGCAGAAGATATATCAAAGCTGCCTCTGGTAGCCCTCTTGGAGCATTTTATATTCTGCCGAAGGAAAGCGGAATTACAATTAAAATCCTATTATCACTGAAAAAACATATAGATGCAGGATTGCATAAATACGCAGGAATGAAACACGTAGAATCAGAGTGATGGAGAGCATCACAGCAGACGGGCTCTGCCGCGGTCTCATGAGGAATAGAATCATCTCAAAAGACGCTCCCGATACAACACACTAGGTGTTTAGGATTACAGAATAAGCAGGAAATGGGTATCTCAAGAAGCAGAAGCACTCCGTAGGTTGACAAATTCTACATCTAGCGTTCAAAGTCCTTGCTGACGCCGAATCACACGGGATCTCAGAGTAGTTCCTGCTACCCTGAATTCTTCCCTTAACGAGAGTTTACTGAGTGGCCTTTCTGTAGAGCTCCTGTAAGCGTTGGGGCCACTGATTACCCCGCAAAGGTTCTGTTAAGGCAGCCTGCTACCACTGCCCAACTTCTAGATTTATCATCGTTTAAGTGCCAATGAATCAACAACACTTGCTCCACGCCAAGGCCACCAAACCTTACCAAGCA